CATATGTCGACTGAATTCTATATATCTTATGTATGTAGGCATAGTACCCCTTTTTATAAGAAACATGAGGCAGGGAACAAAAGAATTCTTGAATTCTGAACTCAAAGAATTTCTTACTAAGAAATTCTTAGTCCCCTTAGTTCCTTTGCCTTGGTAAAAATGGGGTGCTATTTCGTTTTCAAAATTCAATTTGAAATAAAAAAACCCATAGACTCCAAAATTCTATTGAAAGAACGATTAAGCTTATCTTGCTTTCAGCCATGTAGTTTTTTACAAATTGAAAAATCTGTCAAAATTGTTAAATAATTGTTTTAAATAAGAATAGATCAAACTTATCAATGGCAAAGAAATCATTTGATTGTTGCGAAAAATCAATCAAATCATAGCATGAATGCTCTTTACTATTAGATTTTGTAAGTTATTAAATGAAAAGTGATAGACTAAAATATGAATTGTTACTTACAGAAATTCAACAATCAATACGAGTTTTATATGTAATGGTTTCGTAAAAAAAGAAGTAATGGACTGTTTCTCAAAAGAACTAGTGACGCGAACTAATTCGATTCTATGTATATAACTATGAATACTACTTCAAAAATTCGATGACCTGAAGTCTTGAATTAATTTATGTCGCTTGTTTTTTCTTCGAAATCTAATTAATTGTGGTATAATATGTAACTCTGTTGATGAACTTTGAAATAATCTCTCTAGTCTTATAAATTCTTCGAAGAAGATGCTCATCAAATTCAAATAATGAAAATCAGTCATACCGAGTCAATTTCACTATTGGTTTCTTCCGACTTGATCAAATGTTGTGTAAGTCACACGAGTGCGTTATTTGTCAAATATTTTTTTTGCATTGTTTTTTATGCCAACATTTGGTCACTTTTTATATCGTTACTCATTTTTCTTTTTGAATCCTTTTCACCTATACACTCTATTTGGAAGAACTGCACGTGGTTGCAGTGAAATATTCAAGATGAAAAGAAAAAGACTATTAACGGTCAACAAGAAAAAAACGTTTGTACAAAGAAATTCAGTTCATAGAAACTTTTTACTTCCACATTTATTTCTATACACTGTGGGTGGTTGTGGATGTGGGTGCGAGTGTAGTTGAGTCCTCGTCTAACTCTTATTCACCCATACCCACAACCTACCTTCATAATAGAGTAAGTCTTCTATAGAAAAGTATTAAATAGTACAGGGTTAATATTCTATTATACCTCAATATAACACATTAGTTATAGTTGATAGCTCAAATTTCTTATAAGAACTTATTCAATTTAAAAAAATAAATAAATAAATAAACCTCAAATATTCATATTAGTTAATAATTTCAATTCCGCTTTTTTTGAAAGCCTTTTCGTGTTAATCGTTGATTCGATTGTTAATTATCAATAATTTCATGTGAATTTGAGTAAAAACAAAATAAATGTTTAAACACGAAACTACAAACAATTTTTACATTCGATTGTTGTAAAAGTCGAAATTCGAATAATTTTAAACATTTCAGTCTTTTTCGTTGTTGTATCTTTTTGTTTTGAACTTCTTTAAAACTATTAGTAAATTAGTTTCAATATGATTGAAGAAAAAAATTTCAAACTTCGATTTTAAATAAATGAAAATTATTTTATAATAAAAGAAAATATAAATTCGCTTATTGTAGATTCAGAGAGAGAACAAATATCATATTGATTTCATGAATTTTGCTCATTTGAATAGTCAATAAAAAATAATTTAAGATGATTTTCATCAAACATACAAATAAGTAGAAGAAAAAATTATTTTAATTATTTTTGATTTTTTTTCTCAATATTTGCTTATTTCATAATTTACTTTCAAAATTTTCAAAAAAATAATTTCATATTTCATTTGACTCTATTATTTATAATAAATCATTATTTTTATCATAAATAATTAAAATCTAATTGATTCAATTAAAGTTAAAAACAATCATTTGATGATCAAAATTAAAACTAAAATAAATAAATTGTGTCAACCTTTATCTAATGATTTCGTTTAATTAAGTTCATATTACTAAAATTATATAAAAGGAAATCAATTTATTTAATAGCTATCTTTCGTAAATTTCCTAATTATAATAACGGAGAAATAAAATATCGACATTCAAGATCTTATTTTTCATTATGAAAATATGAAATCATATTTAAAACTATTATATTCTAAAGATTTACATTCGTATGATTTTTACTCATTTCAAAAACTTAACTTTTAACTGTAAAATGTTTTATTCAACAATAACAATTTAGTACTTAATATGTACTTAAAGCGGACTATTAAAAAACACAGAAAATACAATTTCAACAACTAATTCCAGGATCTATTTTAGTCGAGAAAACAACCATATTGTTCATTAGAGTTAGTATTTTCTAAAACAAGTTCTTAGCTATTTGTTTAAATGAATAATGAACAAGATTTGTATGGTGGCTTATACTTATTAGAAAGATCAATTGAAAAAAGAAACTTTATTTATTGTCTTTTAGTCCATCTGCGAGACCTTGTGCTTCTTTGCCTCCAATATGATTCTTATTCAAGTGCGATTCGCTCAGTGTCTATAGAGAAAAATGAAGATGAACTGTTGTAATTAAAGAAGGAAATTTTTTTTCTCGTTTAGTGAGATAACAAGAAAATGATACTGGAGAAATTGATCATCTTGTTAATCTTCTTCTTTCGTTTAACTATCAAAGAAAATAAAAAGAAGGGCGAACATAGATCTATATGAAGTTGAGGGAGTGAGACGTACAATTACATCGAATAGTTGAACAACTCACACACGCATTGTACATCTCTATACCTAAATTCAAAGTTTTCGACAAAAAAAATTTCATTTTTTAGAAATTTCAATGTTTATTATTTTGATAAAAGAAAAGAATTATAGAAGTTCAATGAAAGTAAAGAAAAATTTAAAAATAAAAATAATATCATGCTTTTTTTTGTTGGTACATTTATTATATATTGTTTACGTTGAACTCTAACAAATTCCAATTAAAAATCGATAATCTGAAACGATGATCTATATAGTACTCAACTTCGATGAGATTCTATTCGAACTAGTACTATCATCTAGCTAATATATATGAACGAAGTTAAAGAAAAATGTTAAAATAAACAAAAAAAATTTCGATAGTTTCATATTATTAAATTTCATTAAAATAAAAATTTTTAAAAGATTAATATTGATCACTTTCTTTATCTTATTGTTTTTAAGTTATTAAGGAATATAAGAATAAAAGATAACAGTGACAAAAATATTCATTCGATTGACAACTAAAGTTGTCTGTTATAATTGTTAACTATTTTAAATTTCTCAGATAATATATGTATATCTTTTTATACGTATATATTAAAGATTAAAATAAATAAAATAGAAATATTTTCTATGTTTACATTGTTTTTCATATGATAAACATGTTCTGGATAGTAAAATACTAAAACATTGAGACATACGAAAATGTTATGACAAAAGACATTTTCAATATCTTTATAATTGAAGTAAAATCATAGATTTTTAATGAGAATTTTCAATATAATATTTATATAGCATTATAATTTTTTTATTAAAATCATAAAGTTTTTACTTGCTATTCAATAAAAATTGAATATTTCTTTAAGAAAAAAAGCAAATTGTTTATCATATATATATCAATCAGAGTAAATATTTTTCTTGTTAATATTAAATCTTTTTTAGTTTTAATAATAAAATTCAATTGAATGAGAAGAAATCAATAAAAAAATTAACATTTTAAAACCGATACGTATGTAGAAAAAAAGAAATTTTATGATATAAATTGATTAGATAAATCTCAATGAAGAAAATAAAATAAATTTAAATTAACTATTTTCATAATCAAAGAAATTAACAAAAAATATTATTTTGTTTTTTGATTTTGGATTTAATTTTCTTATGATAAAAATATTTCATAATATTATTATTAATTGAATTATTTATAAAATAATCTGAAAATTTCAATTAATTTTGAAATTTAAATAAAATTATTTTAGAAAAACTATCTTAACATTTTTTATATTTTACTTCGAAATTATAAACAAAATTCATTCATATTAATAAAATCATAAAATATCAGTTATAAAAATACAAGATATTAAGATAAAACATACGAAAAACATTCTTTTAATAATATATAGGAGAAAATTTTCATCATTTTTTAACAAAAAATAAAAATAAAGTTTTGCAGTTTTAGTCAATAATAATTCACAAGAAAATTAAAAATGTTTCATATTAATTGTAACTAAAATTCCACATGAAAAATCTTCGTTTTTTTATTTACATCATATTAAACTATAGGCATTCTTTCATATGAGAATAATAAATACAAATCATCATCAATTATTCATTATATTGACACAGTGTGTTATTCATATTTGATCGAGAGTTAATATCAAAGTTTTTGAAAATTCTCCAAAAATCTTTTTGGAAAAGTAAAATATGAAAATAAATAGTCAACAAAATTTAACTTTATATTATATGAATTCTTTTTAAATAAAGTAATGCATTTGTGAGAAACTTTCAATATCGATAAAATAAATCTTTGACAAATTATTTTCATGGTTTTTTTTTCTATTGTTAACTATCAACAATTTTATGAGGATGTATCTAATTCAGTGCATCATCCAAAAGTTGTATCCCAATATCTCTGATTTGATTATCATATAGTGTTGCGATTCCTTCAAGGGGGAAACATCGTACTCGTGTACTCTAAAGTACAATAAAGTACAAAAGTATTTTAAAGTACCTGAAAGTACTTCAAAGTACCTCAAAGTACTTTAAAGTACAGCAAAGTATTTCAAAGTACTTCAAAGTACTCTTCATACGTTATGAGAGATACAGTTGTCATAACATAAAAATGTGTATAAATTTTAACGGAATACGACATTCAGTAAATTACTAATAGTTAACATGTTTATTAATAAATTTATATAATAAGAAAAACCAAACAAAAGGAATACAATATATATTTTTATTTTTTGCTTGTCTGCATTACACGACATAAACGATCTGTTGAAAGTCTTCCACTTTCATTCGTTAATATCCAGCAAGCTGTTTGCTTATGCATGTACTTCACCGTATCGTTAATTTTTATTCTAAAATAGCGATCTTTTTGTTCCATATTTATATTGTCTCGAATTTTTAAACCATTGAAATCATTTATTGTCAAGTTCATGTTTTCCACTTCTTCGTCATCATCAAATGATTCATTTAGACGTTCATTATCCTCACTAGTGTTACTAATGAGTTCATCACTATTATTTAAATAATCATCTTCATCGTATTCATCATCATCTGTATCTGATTCTGAATGTAAGCTGTTTTTACTACTTGTTGTTATCACTGAATCATCAATCATTCTTGATTTTGCATTGAGTCGACTAAAAATATATTTACTTAATGAATCTAACTCAATTAGGCAATGTTGTTTAAGTAATGCTATGACATTTAGCGGTTTGATAAGAGCAACCGCCATTTTATATGAAGTGAGAACAATTTTTTCTATATCTAAATCATAAATAGCTTCTATTGTTTCGTGCATTATTATATGATTATCATTTTTATGTTTATGATGTACAGGAAAAAGTAAACCTTTTTCATTTTCCTGATGATGTTTGATTTTATTTAAAACAGATAATTTTTGGGAACGACGAAGAAAATCAGTCCCTGTAAAGTTAACATTTGTAGAATGTACTCCTGTTAAAGATCGTGTACTTCGAAACATAGATTCACATGACTGTGAATTAAACAAGTAAATATACAATGCTTCTTTTGGCAATTGACTATTTTTGACAAGTAATACTAAATAAACCAACATGTGTGCATTAATTTCAACTGATAGGTAAGCTGTTTTGGTAATGAAATGAGTATATTTTGTTTTTCTTTTTGTTGTTGTCGTTTTAGATACATTTTCAAAACGTGTGTGCTGTAACCAAGCCCACCAAAGCCGACAAAAGAACACTACACACCACGCCAATTCTAGTCCTATATAAAAGAGTATTAATACATATCAATAACGTTGGAACGTAAAAAATCGCCAAAAAGCTGCCGTACAATAATTTCTATCATAATATCGGCTCGAAGTTTTTAGTTCAATCGCGACTCAAACAGAATAAAAAAATTATTTGAAAATACAATCATGTTGAATGTTAAGGATTAATGCAAAAGTCTTTTAGGTAAAAAAGCAATGCTTTGCTTTTAATATAGAATTCAAAAAATATTTAAACAAAAACTTATGGTCGAGCTTCTGATGCAAACTGACATTTCTACAAGATTGTCTCTCATCTTCCATGTAACAAATACTTGTTGAAGGAGAGAGACTTCATTTGATAACTGAAGGATTTCTTTATCAAATCCTCATTTGATAAGATCCCATCTATCAGAAGTTTTCTGTCACTAAAACACATAGAAAAGATTGCTTCTTTTCACGTAGACTTTTTTCTTCTTGAAGCTATTTTGATCGATTTAGTATTCGCTTTCCAATCACAAATTACACGAATTAATTATCCTTAGCCTTATTAACATTAATAACATGTGTACTCACGTTTAGCTATTGTCGTCGACTTATCAATGTATGCTGTTATTGACATTTTCAATAATTGAAGATACACATGAGTACTTTTTGCATTTATATTTTCACTTAAAATATTTAAAAGATCTTCTGACACAAGCTTAACACAAGATCGATAGTTTTGTCTATCTTTTGGATTTAAATCGGATATTGTTAAACCATGATCTAGTTTGGTGTATAGATTATTTTCGATTATGATGTGTAGAAAATCAATACTAATTATTTGATTTCCTATCCGCATTTCAGCTACTTCAGATAATAGACGATTTCTCCATTTCGTTATTAAATGTGTTGGATCTTGTAAAAAGAGAAGTAACTGTTGTTGTCTGAGAAAAACCACGGCCATTGTCCTTCTAGCTTGATTAGAAATGCATCGGAACGACTGTAATGTTGAGAGTTTGACAAAAGTGCAAAAAAGCCACATGTTAGCCGCATGGCTCGCACATATTTTGGATCACCGTCTAGTTAATAGAAACGAAAAGTATCCAAGTGAATCATTCCGGCAGAGATCCCTAATCATCATAATTCGATTCAAATTCTCATTTAATACAAACAAAATCTCAACCTGTTAAAAAGAAAATTTCAACTCAAAAGAATTTACCTGTAGAGAAGCCAATAACTCTTATTTGATTCTGAATACAATTATTATAAATATAAATCCATCGTTTAATTATATCTATGGCTGTTGATGTATTGGGTTGGTAAGAAATTTTTGTCGTTTTTTTTCGTAACTTCCTAGAACAGTGAAGAAAGTTCTAGAAGTTTTCATACTAAGGGTATATAAAGGGAGTGTAAATATCTTTCGATACAACAATAAAACTATGGATATAGAGGGTGTCCTAGAAGTAAGGGAACAAGAAGGGCATCCGTTAAAATTGAACGAAAAATGTTCATGATAGTTTGTGCACTTTTTATTGATGTAGAGAGCTGAAATTTTCAGAAATAAAAGGTCTTGGTTAGATACATATGTGATAAAAATTTCAGCTCTCTACATCAATAAAAAGTGCGCAAACTATCATGAACAATTTTTCGTTCAATTTTAGCGGATACCCTTCTTGTTCCCTTACTTCTGGGACATCCTCTATATCCATAGTTTTATTGTTGTGTCGAAAGATATTTACACGCCTTTTATATACCCTTAGTATGAAAACTTCTAGAACTTTCTTCACTGTTCTAGGAAGTTATGAAAAAAAATGACAAAAATTTCTTACCAACCCAATACTATCCACACCATAAGCACTCATTAGGAATGATGCAGGTGAATTTGTATGATTGGATTGTGGAATAGGCTGGAACATATGAATATTTAACAACGAAGATTTTTTCACGTTTTCAAACCAATATTGAAGTTGTTCATAGGAATCAGTTCTATAATAATTACAAATCGGTACTCCATTAGATAACTTTGTAACAAAACCAACAAATGAATTTGTGGTAACATCATATTTAACTTTTTTAATAACACCGGTGCAATCTTCAGCACAAAAACCAAATCTTACATTCACTGTATCAATGTATTGTTTCAGGGCAATAAAACAAAATTGACCCTCTGCTAAAATAGGATCAGTATTCGATATTAATTTATTTATTGTTGTTAGATTAGGAAGTGCACCAATAATATTAATTCGAACGAATTCATAACATTGTTTAGCACCTAATATATACAATACTAAAGCAAAATCTTTCATACAATCATCATATCGATAACTTTGTTTTGATTTAACTATGTTTTTTGTTATAGTATCTATGAAAGACGACATGAATAAATTATTATTATTATTATTATTGTTGTTGTTATTATTATTATTATTATTGTTGTTGTCGTTATTATTATTGTTATTATTATTATTATTATTATTATTATTATTATTATTATTATTATT